AGAAGCTGCTGCTTCTTCCAAACCGAACACATGTAAGATTTGCCCTTTAATTAGCATCTGCAGCTGCTGCCATCAGAAGGGTCTGTCTCTGTTGGCCGGACCGTCTTTGCTTTAAAAGAGCAAGTCCATTATAGCTCCAAGCCAGGCTGGTCTGTCAGCTGCTGTGCTTCTCTGCCATCTGCAGGGTTGTCACATTGTTCAGGGCTGTTTCACTGTAGGGCTGTTTTCCGTCTTCTCATCTCCCTGGTCTCTGATTACCATGCCTTGGTGATCACTCTTGGGGTGGCCTGCAGGGACATCTCCCGTCCTTGCAAGGATGCAGGATCGTAGCTTCAGTGCTCATGGACTGGTTATGTTCCAGCCCTTTGTTGCCAGTGATCTTGTCTTGATACGCGGAATGGCTCCAGGAAGTCAGTGGAAAAATGTAAGCAGCAGAAGTGAGGGGTGTATTAAAGCCAGGCTTCAAACTGGGGCGCCTCTGCTGTAGAAGCGTGTCATTTAGTTGCAGTAAGGACCCGTGATGCCTCCGCAGCCTCATCAGCATCGGGTCTCAATAAAATGCTGGGTGGAGACCTCCCTGGCGGTCCGGTGGTTAGGATGTTAGGACTTCGAGCTTCCACTGCAGGGGGCACGGGTTTCATCCCTGGTCGGGGAACTAAGATCCCGCATGCCATGCAGAGTGGGCCCAAAAAACCCAAAAATAAACAAAAAAAAGAAACTAATAAATGAAAACATTAAAAAAAAATAAGTTCTGGGTTGGCTGCATCAGCATCACCCCAGTAGCTCCTTAAAAATGCAGATTCCTGGACCCCACCCCTGGAGCTTGTCCATGAAGTCTGGGGTTGGTCCGTGGACTCCACGTTTTTAGCAAGCTCCCTGAATGGTTGAGACGAGGAAGAGACATACTTTACCCTTTCATACTGCTGAATTCTTTTTCATTCTACTAGAATTACAGTTCCACGAAGGCAGGGATTTTTGTCTGTTTTAGTCCCTGCTGTTTTCCTGATATCTGGAATAGTGCCTGGCACATAATAGGCACTCACATATTTATGTGGATGAATGTGTTTTATCCATTTAAAAAAAGTGCTTCCCCAGGTGCCTCTGGCGTGCACGCGGTTCTGAGAAGCTCTGCCCCAGAGGACTTGCCAGTTTTCTTGGGTTAGGAGCCACATTTCTGGGGGGAACATTGCCTCCCTGGGCATCTCTGAATAGTAAAAAATCAGGCATGGAGTCATTTTGGGGGGCAAATCCAAATGCTGTGAATGGACTGTCTGGCACAGCCTGGGTGGTGACTTTGGTCTAATTTGTTCGTCAGTTCTGCTGACCCCGGTCTTTGGTTTACAGCGTGTCATCTGGTATGAAGACTTGAGAACTCTTGCTTTGTGACTTGATGATGCTTTTGGAGACTCTTTTTTTTTTTTTTTAAATGAAGTCTAGTTGATTTACAATGTCGTGCTAATTTCTGCTGTACAGCAGTGATTCAGTTATACATATATATATATATATTCTTTTTTTCATATTCTTTTCCATTACGATTTATCATAAGATATTGAATGTAGTTCCCTGTGCCATACAGTAGGACCTTGTTGTTTATCCATTCTATATTTAAAAGCTTACATCTGCTCACCCCAACCTCCCACTCCATCCTTCCCCCAACCCGCTCGGCAGCTACCAGTCTGTACTCTATGTTTGTGATTCTGTTTCTGTTGCGTAGATAGGTTTATTTGTGGCACATTTTAGATTCCACGTATAAGTGATATCATGTGGTATTTGTCTTTTTCTGACTTACTTCACTTGGTATGATAATCTGTAGTTGCATCCATGTTGCTGCAAATGGCATTATTTCGTTCTTTTTTTATGGCTGAGTAGGATTCCATTGTATTTATATACCACACCTTCTTTGTCCATTTATCTGTTGACAGACATTTAGCTTGTTTCCATATCTTGGCTGTTGTGAATAGTGTTGCTATGAACATGGGGTGCGTGTGTCTTTTTGAATTAGAGTTTTGTGCAGGTATATGCCAAGGAGTGGGATTGTTGGATCACATGGCAGCTCTATTTTCAGCTTTCTGAGGAGCCTTCCTACTGTTTTCCATAGTGGCTGCACCAGCTTACATTCCCACCAGCAGTGTAGAAGGATTCCCTTTTCTGGAGGCTCTTGATTTGGTACCGTTTTTGAAAGTGCAAAAGTGTTTTCTGAAAGTGTCCAAGTCCTGGTTCTTTATTATTTCTTTAGCCTAAACCGCAAGATCGATGAAGCTTGGCTTGACCACACACAAGCTATCTTCCCTTGGGCTCCATTCATCCCAGGATGAGTGACTGTACCCCGGTAAGATAGTTTGGGAATGGGGTAACATCTTGGGGCAGCCCAATTTACCCAGTAAATGCCCAAACTAAATTCTCCTAATGGTGTACGGTTGGAATTTGCAGTATGGTAATCTAGAATCTTGTTGGTGGGCCAAGTCTGATTAGGTTCTTTGATAAGGAGGTTTGTCGTTTAGTACATCTTTCTTGACCTCATGTTGCAGAGCATGCTGCCTAGCAGCTGTTGTCATTTTTGTTGCTTATTGATGAGCGCTTTTGAAGAAATGGAAAATTGTTTGACCAGTCAAAATTGTTTGACTAATCTAGTTTGGGCGGGGATTTTCAGCTTAGGAGTTTGGATCTTCTGAATAGGAGCAGAGAATATGTATCTTTTCGCCTTTCAAAGAGATGGCTTTGATTTTCTGAACTATTTTTCACGAGTCATTACAAATAGAATCTTCAGGAGTCACCGCTAAGTGTTAAATAGTGGTCCATTCGTGAGCTCTTAAAAGTGGCCAGCAGTTGCTACATGCTTGACTTTCTCAGCCTTAAACTCGCAAGCCGTTCTATTTTTTTCACATCTTTAATAGAGCCCGATTAGAAAATTTATAACTGCAACGTGTCGTCATAAATATGCATTGTTCTTATTATATTTTAAGACATTTTGGTTCTAAAAGCATGAGTACTTCCGTTATTATGTGTGAATTTTCTTTGTGTGTGTGGATATTTAAGACCTTTTTAATGACAATATATATTTAAAACAGACGTAAAAAATTAGCATTCACCCGTGTACCCAGGGCCTGTGGAGAACCAGGCTGGGACACGTGGGTGAGCTACAGGCAGCCAGGTGCCTCCTGCTGGCTCTTTGAGGACTGGCACGAGCAGCTTACGTCTGCCAAGACTTTGGGGAAAATAAAGTCTGCATATCAGCTGCCGCCCCTTCTCAGTGCTGCTGTTCTTGTTAGTTCATAAATCAGTTTTTTTTTTTTCCAGCAGTTGCAGTGCAAATGGAACCTTAGATCAAATTGTCCAGTATCTGCTTGAGTATCTGCTACGTGTAAGATGCCAGGTGACGAGGGGCCCTTGGGGAAGGCATGCAAGTCACTGGCCCCTCCCAGGGTCCCCGGTGTGGGGTTGACCTGGTGCTAGGCAGAGTCTTTACTGGACCAGCCTGGGGCCTCTGGGGACGTGTGCAGATGCTCCATATCTTACTTGACTAGAACTTTCTTCTAATTCTGGACTGAAAGCAAACAGAAGTTTGGAGGAGGATGAAGAGAATTCACATCCCAGAGTTGGCTTCTGGAATGCAGTGGTTTGTGAGATTTAGTGTTTTTTTTTTTTAAAAGACTTTTATTTGAATCTTGCCTCTTTCCAGAAAGGGTTTGAGACAGTTTAAAATAAAAGACATTTAAAATGTGGCTATGAGCCACACTTTAAAATGGGAAATCAGAGCAAAGGACAGGAGGGGTTGACGTGGATGCAGAGACGGTCAAAATGGGTCCCATCTTCTCCTAGCCAGAGCAGAGAGGATGGTGCCGTGAATTCAGGGAAAGGAAAGGACTTGAACAGCAGTGGAGGATCTCGTGGCCGCCAGGCACAGCATTGCGAGGGACTCAGTCTTATCCCCATTTTACAGAGGACAAAACTGAGAGGCAGAGAGGTGAAGTCACCGGGCTGAGGTTTGAAGCCTCTTGGGCAGATGAGCCTCCAAGCCTCGTGTTGACTCAGGAATGTCACCCCCGGTTATCATCAGACGGAGGAAGGATTTCAGTTTCTTGGGGTGGAAGACTTTCTTTTGCTAATTAAACATTTTCCCTGAGGCTGTACTTTATATTCTTCCAGGTTTTTTCCCTTAAGTATATACTAACAAATGTAATATGTGTTTTTTTAATCACAAAAAAGTTTTACTGTATCCTCTTTAGGGCATCACTATATATCATCATAGATGGCTTTCCATGGCAGAATGAATAGATCGAGTCCATTCATTTTTAGTATCTGCCTCTTGTCCCATAGTTTAGATAAATCATATTTTAGCAGTCTCTTAGTGATGGCTGTTTGGGTGATTTCCAGGGTTTCTTTTTCCCATGTTACAAACAATGCTTCATTGAATCTCTTTATCTGTCTATCTCCAAACTACTGTAAGTTCCTGTAAAATAAATCATCGGAAGCAGAATTACTGGTTCAGAGGGTATATGTTCACACTTAAAATTTTTAACAGAGATGGTCAGGTTGCCTTCCACACTGACTGTTTAAGGAAGAGATTGTATCATGTTTATTGCCCATCTCCTGTATTCTGCTGGGTGCTGAGGGAAATGCAGAAAGGATGCAAGAGGATTTCTTGCCCTCCAGGAATTTCTGTCTATGCTATGTACCTAATCCTAGGGAATGTCTGGGGTGTCTCCTTGGGTGGGTGGGTGAGTGGGTAGATTTAATTCAACTTTTCAAGCTTGCCTTGCAAACATTGCACATGGCGTTTAGGATTCATCTTTCATTGTATTGATTCTCTTGGGTAATGGGTGTAACTTCCTTAGGGCAGGGACCTTGTCCTACATGACTTACAGTATGTCTCATGCATCTTCATTGCTTTGTGGAGACATTGTAATTATAACATGTCAGGTAGTATTCGAGGATCCAATTGAGAACATTCCCCCTTTTTTGGGTGTATGAAGAATTAATAACTTTGGCATTCTATACAGGTCATGGAATATCAGCCTGGAGGGGATTTGCTGTCACTTTTGAACAGATATGAGGACCAATTAGATGAAAATATGATTCAGTTTTACCTAGCTGAACTCATTTTGGCTGTTCACAGCGTTCATCAGATGGGATATGTACATCGGTAAGTGAGGCTCCCTGGTAGTTGACTGGGGATTTGTCTGTATCACCTAAGAGTTCCTAAAATAGAGTGAATGATTTCAGCATGAAAATAATGCTTCAGCCAATTTTTAGCCCATCTTCACCATAATTTACTGAAAGCAAATTTTCCAAAATGGCAGATGTTTCAGCTTACCCATTCAACAGGGAAATAGATTTAAAATTGTGACATTCTCACGTTTGCTGGTAGGATCTGTCAATGCGCCTAATAAGACCGGGAGCTCTTGCATGGGTTCTCTGGGTGCTGTGGTAGGAAAACTGAATTTGATTTGTGCAAGGAGGCAGCATACCCCGGAGGAACAGAAGTGTGTGTAGTTGTACTTCTGACCTTGCCCGTTAGTAATTGACAAAGGTGTGCCCCCGCATCCTCGGTTGAAAAGTGTTTCTTTACATCTTCACTCAGCTAGTGTTTTACGAGCATCTGAGAATGTTGTGGGAATGGAATGATGGTTAGACCAGGAACCGCAAAATCCTGAATAGCGTCTCAGTTTTTCCATTGACTAGCCACATGGCCTTGGGCACATCCCCTAGCTTTTTGTGGCCTTAGCTCTCCTGAGGTAAAATGTGTGTCTCGAGGAGAAATAATCCATCTAATAACATTTATTTTGTTCCCTTTCCTTCTCTGCTTCCCTTCTCCTTCCTCCCTCCCTTCTATTCTTTCTCTCTCATTCTTTTACTTAAATTTGTTTTGCAAAATGCTTATTATGTATGTCCATCAGTAGGGAGGTTTGTATGGCAAAACCACAGGCACTAAGATTCTTGGCTGAAGGAAGATCCTAGGTTAGCAGTTGCTTGATGATTGTCATAGAGAAGATAACACTAATTTGTGGCCTTGATTTTCTTACAGAGACATCAAGCCCGAGAACATCCTCATTGACCGAATGGGACACATCAAGCTGGTGGATTTTGGATCAGCTGCTAAAATGAACTCAAATAAGATGGTAACAAAATAGAATAAGATAACTTAATAGAGCTTATACTACAAAGTGTTCTGAGGTCCTCATAAATTTGGAAAACATGGGATAAAGTTGAGTGACATTCTGGAGCCCTCGTCTGTCAGTGTGTGAAATGATTTCTCTGCAGGGTGGGTGGGGATGGGGACACAGCGATTTTCCAGACTTACTTGATCTGGTACCCTTTTATGTAAAATACCTGTTAATACCCTACAAAACATTTTTAGGAACATTCTTATAGTTTGGATTAAAAGATGGGAAAATGCTTATTTTGTTTTTCCCTTCTTTTTCCTTGCTTGTTAATAGATTGTCTTCTGTTACATTTTCTTTTTCACTTTAAATATTTTGGTGAAATGTAACCTTATTTACCTCAAATCCTCTATTTCCTATGCAATGAAATTGAAAGTAATCACCAGAAAATTTGAACCAAGCATTAAGCATTAAGAACCAAGTACTCAAAATGTCGATTCTAAATCCTGGACCTTTGGTAAAAATTAAGCTGTATTCCACATGCTAATAATTATTAAGCTGTATTCCGTGTGCTAATAGGAAGGCAAGAGGGAGCTATTGAGGTCAAGAGTGAGAATACTTTAGGAAAAAGATAAAGTAAAAGAAAATTAGAATTTAGAAACCTAATAAAGTTGGTACATACTAAAATGTAAATTTTCAGGTCAACTATGCAAAAAAATGGTAAGTCTAAGAAAAAATTGACTTAGATTTTAAGACTAACTTCCCAACTGAATCACTTGGTGATCTGGACAAATCCTTAGAAACTTGGGCTTTTATTCTTCCTCTAGAAAATACTGGGTCTAGTTAAAATGCAGAAATGAAGAGGTGAGGGGTGGCTGCGCTTCAGAATGCCTCCTGGGTCTGAGAGTTTAGTCCTTATGAAGGGCAATATATAAAATTTCCTTTTTTCCCTCAAGTTCCTTGGAGGAAAGGTGGGTATTATTATGTTGATGTGAGGAAAAGGATCTGGGTTTTGTTAACTGTTTGCATTCCAGGGTTTGGCCTCCCTGTTCTGCAGATCTGAGGCCCACTTGACATAACTTCCTTCAGGTTCAGGCTCTTGGAAAAACAGGCTCCTTACCTTGTCTGAGGTCAGGGTTTTTCCACCTTAGCACTGGTTGTTTTTTATCCCCCCCCTCAGATTATGTGCTTATAATCTATTACACTTGATCATTACGTTAATAATTAGATTAGAGTATCAAAGAATTTTATGTTTTAAAAATTATGTACAATTCAGAAACAGGCATGAGGGCTTCCCTGGTGACGTAGTGGTTAAGAATCCGCCTGCCAGTGCAGGGGACACGGGCTCGAGCCCTGGTCCGGGAAGTTCCCATATGACACGGAGCAACTAAGCCCGTGCGCCACAACTACTGAGCCTGCGCTTTAGAGCCAGCGAGCCACAACTACTGAGCCTGCTCTCTAGAGCCCGTGAGCCACAACTACTGAAGCCCGTGTGCCTAGAGCCCATGCTCCACAACAAGAGAAGCCACTGCAATGAGAAATCCGCACACCACAACCAAGAGTAGCCCCCGCTCGCCACAGCTAGAGAAAGCCCACGCGCAGCAACGAGGACCCAATGCAGACCAAAGAAAAAAAAAAGAAGAAACAGGCATGAAAAATTAGGTATTCAATTTAGTGGAATGAAGTACAGAAAAAAAGTTAAATCATGCAAAGTTTTATCATCTGGGATTCAAAAACCTATACCTTGCATTAATGACCTTAATAAAATCAGGCATCTAGAAATAAAATGAAGCCTAGATATGTAGTCAGCACCTCTGACATTTTGGTCTAGCGAATTCTTCGTTGGGGGTGGTACTGTCCTGTGTATTGTAGGATGTTTAGCTGCATCCCTGGTCTCTACCCACCGGATGCCAGTGACACCCTCCCCTCCAGTTGTGGCAACCAAAATGTCTCCAGACATTGCCCAGTGTTCCCTGGGGGACAGAATCACCCCTGGTGGAGAACCTCAGCTGTGGACTGAGAAGCATCAGAAGGCTTATCACTTCGAGCTGGCAATGTGTGTTTGCGATAAGAAAACCTACTGAGAAAACTCCGTTATGATCCAGAGTCACTGCTTGGGAAAGAAATGGGAATAAAGAGTAAGGTCCTATCTCTGCATCTGGAATCGCTGTCTTCAGAGCCCTCGGTGGAGAGACAGGACTCCTCTTCATTTTAAATGTCTATTTTTCAGTGCTGCAAACTGCCCTTTCCAATTCTGCGAGCGGTAGCAACACTCCCTTCAGGCGGGGAGCTTCCGGAGGCACTCAGGTTTATTTGCCGCTCGATGGTCAAGGAGATAATGGCCCTCAGTCCTACACACTTGAGAATGTTGTAGCTCCTCTCCTCTTAGAGAATAGCCTCCCCAGAACTTTGTGGTCTTAGGGCCAGAATGTGACAAGCAGATGAGAAGGAATTTTTAGCACTGCTTTAAGTGCAAAGGCCCTTTTGTTATAAAAGATCAACAATTTGCAATCTAGATCAAGTATGGATACAGAACTATACTTTTTTTTTTGTATTTTTGATCAGCGATGGTGGGTGAACCGTGTTTCCTTTAAATAGAATGTTTTATAGGTCTAAAGTAGGTTTTAAAAGTTTTTTTTTAGTACTCAAAATATACTATGTAAAATATAGTTCACACTTGCTGAAATTGTTGTATGTTACCTGAAATCCATTCATCCTTTTCCCTACCACCTGCCACGTATGGTCATTGTATTTTGGATATTTGTGAATCTTAGATCTGTTGAGTTTCCCATCTTCCATTGTCTTTATATTTAAGCTTTTTAGCCAGAATGTTGCTTGGGAGTATTTTCATTATGTTCCTCCAGGTGGACCATACTGCCTGGAAGTTTGGGTGTTGAGCAGGGATGTCACCCACTTCACCTTATTAGAATCTCAGAGAATGGCAAACAGCTAACAGTTCCAGTCTGTCTCACTCAGCCCTTGTGAAAACAGTTGTAAGGAGATTATAAATAAAGAGCATTATATAGCATGTTAAGAGATAATCACTACCATTTAGCAGTTGGAAACCCATAGGAGATAGCCCTTTTTGAGATTTATGGAGGAGTGAAAAGATTTTATTACTTTTCCATGAGAGGAACAACATAGCGAGAATATTTTTTCTGGCTGCTTCTGCAGGTGTATGTTTACCCTGGGCAGCTAGAGGAGTAAAGTTAGGTTTGAAACAGTTTTACGTATAAGCATTTTTACAGGAAGGGGATTGGGAGGAGGAAGACTGGTTTTCTTACCTTCTTCTCCATCTGCTTTCTGCTTGTAAAAGAATCTGCTGGGTTAATCCCCTCCTTCCCTCCTTTCTTTTCTTTTCAACCCTCTGTCTCTCGAAAATGTGACAGACTCTTCTGTCTCCTGGTCATTTTATTGTTGTCTCCTCCTGAACTGGTATATTTTCTTCCCTGTCAATACAGGGAAAATTAAAGTTCAGTAAAACTGGGGCCTTGTCAGATGGTTATACTGCAGTCAGGCTGCGCTCCTAGTACACGGTCCCACTTTTAATATCTCACCCAGAATAGCTGGCTGTGAATTGCCACCAGAGGATAGTGAAAGGATCTTGCAAAATCCTTATCAAGATGTGTCAGATTACATGTTGAACAGGTTTAATGTACTTGGAGGTCAGTAACTAATGGAAACTTAGGAGCCATTAATTTTCATTAAAAGTCTTTGTTAATTGATATTAATTACTGTGGTAGGAGAAGTACAGAAAGCAAGCTAGGGAATTTTTTTTTTTAATTTTGGAAATTTACAAAATTGTTAGACATAAATGTGTATAATCACATACCTGTTATGGGGCAAAAACAGTTGCAGAGTTATCCAACTCTTTGGTAAGTCTAACCATTAGTTTGAAAATGAGGCATTGACAGTTTATACCTTTTGCTGGGTCGTGCTGATAAACATGACCCAGTCAACTTCCTTTCAATTCTTTGGTTGTGAGTAAGTGACCAAGCCCTGGGAGCTGCCATCTCCTAAGGATATTCAGGAGAACTGAATTGTCCCCAAACAATCTAGTGTGATGATAAAATAAAATCTAATACATAGAAATGATGAATATTTGAGGATTGTGTATTAATGGTTTTGCAAAATAGGCATAAAGGGTAAGCATTTAATCAACTATACAGTGGCATTACCAATACCTAGTCAAACCAAGATGTTACAGTTTTCCTTCTCTTGTTTTGATATTTTAAAGATATTGTAAAACAACTATACCCCAATTTTAAAAAAAAAGATATTTATTTCTAGTTGTCAGCATTCAGGATTTTTTTTTTCCCCCCAAATCTTGTAATTTAATCTCAGTTCTGTGCTGAGCTCATTAACACACACACATTAAAAGACAGAAGTCTTGGCTTAAGCTTCCCAAAATCAAGGCCTCCTCTTGACCAAAGCTACACTCATTTCCTCAAGCTTAAGGTGTCCTGTCTTAGACCAAATATTTTCTCCTCTCTTCTCACTTTAGTCCCTCAGCACAGGCCTGTGGGTTTCTTGGGTGGCGTGACCACCTAACTTTCCCAGGCATGTGTTTGCAGTGGAAGCCCTATTGCTCAAAGTGATGGCTGACTGGTGTCAAGAATAACAGTATCGCACTGCTTTCTGGGTTTAGGGTTTGAAAAAAGCCTGTGATGGGCCTGAGGGAAGGGGTGAAAAGAGAGGGAGTAGGGACAATGATTTTGTTTCCTATAACAATGGGTCTTTGAGGCAGAGGAATAGACCAGATTAAAGTTTCGGGCTGGAAGAGCTTGGGTCTTCGTCACTGGGGAAAGGAGATCTCTTAGCATCTTCTTTAAACATTGACTTTCCTCTCAATCTCCATTCAAATCAAAGCAAAGCAAAGCAAATTGACGTTCTTGATATAAAGCCCAGCCTTAAAGGTATGTGGCCATACCTATAAAATCTCTCAGCTCACTCAGGGGCAATTAACACCCTTTAATGGGGAGAGAGCTCTTTTGTACCATGTAGCTGCTACTGTGAGAGGAGCCTTTTTAGATGTAGGGTTATTGGACAACTGGTCAACCCAATATGTGACTAACATCAGGCCCTCTCTGTTTTGATGAGGAATAAGGTTAGAGAGGTGATCCTTAGACTTCAAATTTCATGATTCAATAAAACTTCAAGACAATTTTGAAGACCAAAAGTTTGCCAGCTTACTAGGTTGCCTAGGAAGGAGTGGGGGTGAGGGGCAGAAAACATACCCTTTTCATCTGCATCATTTCAAGAAACAAAGTATGTTTAAACACTAAACCAGTCAGAAGGACAAATTCTCAGAAATAAGGACAGTTCTTTAAATGGAATATATTAGCTTTATAAAAAGACCTCGTACATTGTCCTGATATTTCTTTGTCAAGGTCAGGTGCTTCGGTACCATAGGATTGGAGGGCTCTGAGTCTCTGAACAGTGGGGAGGGAACCACAGAAACGGGATTTCGGGGTGAGGAAAATGAACTCATTAACATTTGACCTCTGGTAGAAATTATTTATCATGTCTTGCCCTGCGGGTGGGCCGAATAGGAATGTTGACTCCAAATATTTAAACTTGAGATATAACACATGCTTGCAGTATTGTGTTGCCAGCTAGCTGCCAGTTTTTCAATAGTGAGTAGATCTTTTAGATTCATCTTTACATGTTGTTATCGTTTTACTGTTTTCATACGTAAGAGAAGTTCTGTCGTATCAGTAAGATGTATCAGGAACGACATCTTCCTTTGTAGGCATATACCCAACTCATTTGTGTAACTAAATGTATGTATCATCAACAACCCTGGGCCCTTTGCCTTTGGATTATATTATGTGGTTTTGTTTTTTTTTTTTAAGTTAGTGAATCATTTGCTTTTCCTGATGCTGTGCCACTTGACAGAAAGTTCAAGTGCCTGGGAGAATAGTAATCAGTGGCAAATCAGCTTATGTCTGTTGGTAATCCATTTGAGGATAATTGAAAATTTGCTGTGTTCATTTTATTTATGGGTTTCCAGGTGAATGCCAAACTCCCAGTTGGGACCCCAGATTACATGGCCCCTGAAGTGTTGACCGTCATGAATGGGGATGGAAAAGGTGCCTATGGCCTAGACTGTGATTGGTGGTCAGTGGGAGTTATTGCTTATGAGATGGTTTATGGAAGGTCCCCATTCACTGAGGGAACCTCAGCCAGAACCTTCAGTAACATCATGAATTTCCAGGTAAAGAGCCATTATTAGATTTTGAAGTAATATTGAGAAATGTCGTTTAAAATTGTGCGAATGAAAGTTTATAATGTAAACCAGCAGTTCTGGATAATAACAACAACTACTTTATATAGCATTTTACGCCAAAAGTGGTTCTAAATGCTTTATTAATTGTATTATATTGACTCTCAGCTGCCAGTAATTATAAGCTTATGCCATCATTTTATGTACCATTAAAAAAGAAAAACTGCTGCCCATTAATCTAGGATATTTCATTGATTTCAGTGTTGTCAACTGTGAATAAAATGGGAATCTTAAAATTTGTGAAATATAGTTCATTAACTTGGCTAATCCTCAAACAATCCTGTGAGGTAGATGATATTATTATTTTCATTTTACAGATGAGGAAGCCAAAGCACAGAGTGGTTAAGTAACTTGCCCAAAATAGCACAGGCAGTCTGGCTTTGAAATCCATGTTCTTATATGCAATACTGCTTAGTACTGCTGGCTGTCAAACATGGTAGTAAAAGTCAAAGACATGGATTAGAAATACAGTAATAGATACATAAAGTAGAATTAAACCTATTTTCTGATAACTGTATTTGTCACTATAGTAAGCCCATTTCTTAAGGATATGATGAATATCTATGTTTTAGTTTCAACCAAAAGGAAAAAGAATGTATTTCACAGGTTTTTATATATCATCCAGTTTCTTCCTGGGATGCTTAATGCATATTTTTCTATGTACAGTACACTTTTTGTATGCTTAATACATGTATACATTATTTGTTATTCCTGAGTCTACTCCTGAGTTAAAGTTTCCCCTGAGATGATGCTTGGGGCTCATTTGTTTCCTTCATTTCCATCCATTCATTCAGTAACGAGTGAATTGCACTAGGCACTGTTAGGTGTTAGGTACCAGGTTTGCAGTTATGGGCAAGAAGGAGAAAGGCCCTCTTGGCCTTCTTTCTCCATCATCACACAAATCAAAATACACCGTGTATGTGCAAAAGCAGAACACGGGGAGCACGCAGGAGGGAGTGAGTGATAGGGTGGGAGAGGGAGGCCGGGAGGTAGGCAGGGAAGAGGGGCTGAGGTTGGGGAGGGCCTTCTGGGCAGAGAGGACAGAGTGATTTGTTCAGACAGCTTTAAATAGCTCATTATTGTTGGTTGGCAAACAGCGAGGTGGGGAGTGTAGGTAGATGAGATGGGAGAGGGTACAGGGATCAAGTTATGAAGCGTATTGAACCCTTGCAAGGGAGCTAGGCCTATTGATATGAATAGGCTGTTTATTTTGGGAACATGCCTTTGGTCCCAAGTTAAGAGGGCATAAAACTTCCTTCTTAAAAAAAAAAAGAAAGAAAGAAACTTGCATATACGAGAATTACTTTTTTAACTTGGAGACATGAGAAGCTGAATTTGCTAAGGGAATAATAATTATTATTATTTTTTGAAATAGCGGTTTTTGAAGTTTCCAGATGATCCCAAAGTTAGCAGTGAATTACTTGATCTGATCCAAAGTTTGTTGTGTGGCCAGAAAGAGAGACTGAAGTTTGAAGGCCTTTGCTGTCATCCTTTCTTCTCTAAAATCGACTGGAGTGACATTCGAAACTGTAAGTAGAGTCGTGTTCCTTCAATTCCAGTGTTGGGATTAAGAAACGCTTAAGAATGATCTGAAATTACTCTGGCCCACAGAAGCTGGTATAAATTATATAAGTAAGGGTTTTAATTACTTATAGGAGTAGAAAAGGGTAATGATGTAGCTGTCTTTAGTAATAAGTCTTCTTTAACATTGTTGGCACAGAACTGGGTCACTTAATCAAACTCTGTGTTTATGTGGCCTTTGGATTATTACCCCTCAGTACATTAGAGGTACAGATTGATAGAGAGTGAAGGTTGTCACTTGGTTTGACAGAATTTCTTCCCAGAAGAAGAGTGGACCTAACTATTTCGTTCACAAGAATAGGAAAAAGACTCAGATTAGGCAAAGTGCCAGGGTTGCTCTGCTAATGGCCAAGCCTGCCCTAAGGCCATGAATGCCTTGCTGTGTTCGTTTGTTTCCCTCTAAAATATTTGTCTTTGCTCACAAGCATGTAAAACCTATAATGCACATGCACAGTGGATTCATTCATACATCGCCTTGTTATCAATTAGTGCAAACTAAATTCATTAAAAACAAAGACCTGATTTGTTATCAACAAATGCAAAATGCTTGGTGTTTTACAAATTGGTAGTTTTTTTTCAACCTTTTTATTCTTGGATGTGTTGTTGATTGAATGTGATCTAATGACCTGACCCAGTGATTAGTGTAGATTAGGGTCTGCAGGAAAGCAGTTGGCCTGGTTGAGTGTTTGATTTTTAGTGATTTCCCTCCTGATAGGGAAATGGAATCCATTTCTAGGTGTCAAAACCAGGCTTCTGGTTGGATCTGTATTGTAATTATAACCTCTTGTACCTTCAGCTGGAATGTATGAGTTGGGTTAACAGGCAGTATTGTCCATTTTGATGGTTTCTCTGACCCCCTGCCAAAATATTTAAGTAGGCTGTATTTCCATAAATTGCTCTTGGCATTTTTTTTTCTTCCGTGAGCGACATCACTGTATTTTTCAAATCTTTAGGCAGCAACCCCCAGATCTCCAAGGTTCAGAGCTTTTAACCAGCAATACGTTTTTTGTTTTTTCTGGCTGCGCCGAGTGGCTTGTGGGATATTCGTTATATCCTGACCAGGGATTGAACCTGCACCCTCAGCAGGGAAAGCACCGAGTCCTACAGGACCACAGGACCGTCAGGGAATTCCGAAATTCCCGCAGCAATATGTTTTCAGTGTGGTCTTCCTTTTTTGCTTTTGGAAAGATTTGAAACAGTTTCTTTTTGATGCTGCTCAGATACTTAATCTTTTCTGGCATTACCTTATCTCTGTAATCTTGAATAAGAAAGTTCATTTTTTTATGCCTGCCCTTGCCGATGGTGTCTAATAATGTATCTTCACTCTAGTAAGTCAGTGAACGGTGATTAATTACACAGGTAACTTTATTCTGTATTTTGGTAAACCTTGATGTTATTTTTGGTATCATGTCAGAATTCTCAGATTTCGTTCTAGTCTTTTCCTCTCAGGCTGTTTATTGGTTTTAGGCTTGTTGGGCTTACGAGGGTAAGTACTGTTCTGTAAATTATAATACATAGTGCCCAGGGAGGATATGTGTTGGCGCAGAGTGTGGCCCCTGCTGTCCATCATGAGGCCCATCTTGTGGAAAGTCGTGGTTATCACTGGGATGAGATGACTCTGGGATGGGTCACTGCAGTCTTGGTCATCTTCACACTTGTTGCCTCCACACTTGACTCACCATGTCTCCTGTGGTCCTGCTTAATGTTTCCATATCCTGATAAATATCCACTTAGTTTTTCCTTATCTTTAACACGTGTTTCTCCCCCTCCTACACCCAGTTCATATGAGGGAATTCTCATCCAGCTGAATCCTGATTCTTTTTTTAAACTTATTTTTTAAAATAAAAACTGTGGGCTTCCCTGGTGGCGCAGTGGTTGAGAGTCCGCCTGCCGATGCAGGGGACGTGGGTTCGTGCCCCGGTCCGGGAAGATCCCACATGCCGCGGAGCGGCTGGGCCCGTGAGCCATGGCCACTGAGCCTGTGCGTCCGGAGCCTGTGCTCCACAACGGGAGAGGCCACAACAGTGTTTTGCGTACAGCAAAAACAAAAAACAAAAAACACAAAAAAATAAAAATTGTATATATTTAAGGTGCGCAACATAGTGATTTGATATACATACGTAATGGTGGAATGATTACTATAGTGAAGCTAATTAACATAGTTTCCTCCCTCCCTCCCTCCTTCTCTCTCTCTCTTTCCCTCTTTCTCTCTCTCTCTCTCTTTCCCTCCCTCCCTTTCTTTTTTCTTTCTTTTATGAGAGAGCACCTGAAATCTGCTCTCTTAACAAATTTTCAGTATTCACTACAGTATTATTAAGTGTAGTCATCACACTGTACATTAGATCTCTAGGACTTGTTCATCCTACATCACTCCAACTTTGTACTCTTTGACCAGAATCTCCCCATTTCCCCCACCTCCCCACCCCTAGTAACCATCTTTCTACTCTGTGCTTCTATGTATTGGACTTTTTTAGATTCCACATATGAGTGAGATCATGTAGTTTTTTTCTTTCCATGCATGTCATATTGCCCTTTGCACCGTGACCTCCAGGTTCATCCATATTGTTGCAAATGGCAGGATTTCCTTCTTTTTTTTAAGGCTGAGTAATATTCCATCACACATATGTAAATAATGCATTCGTCCACTGATGGACACTTAGGTTGTTTCCATATCTTGGCTACTGTGAATAATGCTGTCATGAACGTGAGAGCACAGATAGCTCTTTGAAGTACTGATTTCATTTTCCTTGGGTGTATACCCAGAAGACGGATTCCTGGATCACATGATAGTTCTATTTTTAGTTCTCTGAGCAACGTCTATACTGTTTCCATAGTGGCTGCACCAATTTATATTACTACCAACAGTGCACAAGGAGTCCCTTTTCTCTACATCCTTGCCAATAGTGATTATCTCTTATCTTTTTTTTTTTTTTTTTTTTGCGGTACGTGGGCCTCTCACTGTTGTGGCCTCTCCCGTTGCGGAGCACAGGCTCCGGACGCGCAGGCTCAGTGGCCATGGCTCACGGGCCTCGCCGCTCCGCGGCATGTGGGATCTTCCCGGACCGGGGCATGAACCCGTGTCTCCTGCATCGGCAGGTGGACTCTCAACCACTGTGCCACCAGGGAAGCCCCTTATCTCTTATCTTTTTGATGATAGCTATCCTAACAGGTGTGACGTGGTATCTCATTGTGGTTCTGATTTGCATTTCCCTGATGATTAGTGATGCTGACCACCTTTTCATATACCTGTTGGTCATTTGTATGTCTTCTTTAGAAAAATGTCTTTTCATGTCTTTTGCCTTGAATCCTGATTCTAAAACTCTAACAGAAACTCTTGGTGTGTTTTTTTTTTATAAATTTATTTTATTTATTTACTTTTGGCTGTGTTGGGTCTTCGTTGCTGTGCACGGGCTTTCTCTAGTTGCGGCGAGCGGGGGCTACTCTTCGTTGCGGTGGGCAGGCTTCTCATTGTGGTGTCTTCTCTTGTTGCGGAGCACAGGCTCTAGGCGCGTGGGCTTCAGTAGTTGTGGCATGTGGGCTCAGTAGTTGTGGCTCATGGGCTCTAGAGTGCAGGCTCAGTAGTTGTGGCACATGGGCTTAGTTGCTCCGTAGCATGTGGGATCTTCCCGGACCAGGGCTCAAACCCATGTCCCCTGCATTGGCAGGCGGCTTCTTAACCACTGAGCCACCAGGGAAGTCCCTCTTGACGGTTTTTAAAATATAAGTCCCAATACAGTCGTTCAGAAGAGTCATGAAATATGTTTGCCTTAAAGAAAATTTCTTGTAATTTATTTTCTTTCTAAGATGAATTAATTGATTATTTTAATTTTTATTTCTTGGCCGCATTGTGCAGCTTGCAGGATCTTAGTTCCCTGACCAGAGGTTGAACCCAGGCCCCCGGTAGTGAAAGCGCTGAGTCCTAACCACTGGACCATCAGGGAACTCCCAATTTCTTGCACTTTAAATAAACATTTTACTTTGGAATAATATCAGATTTATAGAAAAGTTGCAAAGATAGTACAGAGAGTTCCCACCTACGCTTCTCCCAGTTTCTCTTAATGTTAGCATCCTACATAACAATACCGCATTTGTCAAAATAGGATTAGCATTAGTACATAACTATTAATTAAACTTCGACTTTATTCCAGTTTCCCCACACATGTCCCTTTTCTGTTCCAGGAATCAACCCAGGGTACCATATTGCAATTAGAATGTATGCAGTAGATATGACTTATCATGGCTGAGATGCTTGTGTAGCTCAGCCAGTGGGTGGGATCTCCATGCCCACTGAGGATTGGTAGGGCCTTTTCCTGGAGGTTCCATGGCATCCCTGACTGCACAGAGTGCTATGGTATTCATTTTCAGTGTCTCCTAGCAGATTTTATTGCTTTCCACCAACCTCTGATCCTTGTGTATTTGCAATCAACTCCGGGTTTGTGATTGAAAACATTGCTGGACTCCATGCCATTTGAGCTATTTTCTACTAGGTAACTCTAACAGAAATTATGCCTTTGTTTAGTCCTGTTTCTCACACACATTGAGTGACTCTCATCAACCAAAGCACTTGAAGTCATTAGGTTTCCCGAGTTCCTAGTTGCTGCTCACATGCCTTGTGGTTCCAGGCTGTTGCATATTTCCACACACGAGACTGTCTCTTGATGAAAGCAACATTAGCCTTTCTGCTATTTCATCGCTAATTCTTCTTTTTCTTGTTGTAACCAATGAAAGGAAGTAGTGCTTAACACAACAGGTAATAGTCTTCTAAAACTCATTATCTCAAGAGGTGGTCCTGGCAGGATATATAAATGCAATTTAAAAAGCGTTTGGGCAAGTTTATGAGTGACAGAATTGGGAGTGGCTACTGGGAGAAACTAGGACATGCCTTGGCTTTGACCCCTGAGGTCAGATGGAGCATCTGCACCTTCTTGGGTCCGGCCCCTTGGAGTTG